TTTATGGTTAACTTTTTTTTCTTTTCAAGATTGACAGAGGAGGCTCTGCCTCACCTGCCTCCCCTGACCACACGTCACTGTTTATTTACTATATAGAATGTTTACAGTAGTCAGATTCTGGGCTTTGCTTTATGTTTTGATCTGATCTTCATTTTTATCAGGAAATGTTTCCAGGTTTAGGCAAATTTTTATTTAGATGAAGTTGATTGCACTGAGAAGTTTGATATATTTATCAAATTTAAATATAATTTAGCCTATCTACCAAAAGATATTCATCATGTGTAAGATTTTAATTGTAGCATGTCACTCCAACTGCTAAACCCACAAATTCCAAGACAAAAATACAGAGAACATGACCCTAGTGTTCTCAGTGATAACTATAAACGAATAGGCTATAAAAAAAATACTATACAGTACAAAAATATCAATGAAAACTTGTAAGGGTATGTTTTCTTACATCTAGGTTATTCTAGGCTTTTATATTAAATACAGTATGGACATCTGTATTTATGAAGCAAAAGAGTTATGATTATATCAAAGGTATTGCACTGTACTGAGTAGACAAGGGATTGGGATCAGGAGCAAAAAACATATAATGGTCCTCAATACTTTTGACTGAGATGCCAACATAAAATGCTTGTATCTGCAAACAGTGACCACTGGTGGCCCCTCTGACTCCTCTGGGCTCCTTTAAGTAATGCCTGTACAATAATTTATGTGATGACATGAAATATGGTGCAGGTCTATAATAAGAGCAGGATCAAATTACGCCTCTGTTGTGAAAACTAATGTCAGAGTGAGAGCTCTTTACTTCGTGTTGCTCTCTGGCAATTTGGGGGCAGGGAGCCTGATGATGACAGCTGATCCACCAGAGTCCTGCCCCCCATGTGCAATAGTCATGGGGATTCCTCTTGTGGCAAGTCCCAAAAGTCTTTGCTAAGATCATGTAACTAATTATTCATAAATGTCTCCACACCAAACACGTGTTTATAACACCCCATGCACACAGTCATACAGTACATTGGCCCTGATTTGTTGTTCCGTTAAATATATAGCCTACTATTTGACCTCTGCCATATCAGTGAAACAAAATATTAGGCTACATTCATGAATTAAAAAAGTAGGTTACATAAAAAGAGAACAATGCACTATACTGTTCATATATAGTATGGTATTTAGTTTTTGTTTATTTTATGTCTTTCACTAATATACAGAAACAGTGAGGCTATTAGTATTATTAGATACACTGACACCATCTGTCTTTCTGTATTAATACATTATAATACAGTTACACAATAACTGTCAAAGGGCTCTCTTTTCCTGCAAGCGTTCAGTGTTTTGCAATTTTGGTGACCACAGGTGTTAGCGGGAATACATTATCATAGGGAGGAATACATCGTGCGCAGGTGGTGTCAGGCTGGCTTTAGTTAAGTCCAGCGAAACCAGTTCCTCCCATGCCCTTTATAGAGCAGGGTGGAAACCTGGCTGACTGTTGTCATGAGAGGAGAGTTTCCTCCACTCCAAACTGACCCAGCTCACTGTGCCTGCCCCCACCTGTCAGTGGATTACTAGCTTTCTGACAGACAGGAAGCAGCAGGTGAGACTGGGGAAAACCACCTGGAGCACCTGGACAATAAGCACAGGTGCACCCCAGGGATGTGTGCTCTCCCCTCTGCTGTTTTCACTCTACACCAACGACTGCATCTTGAAGGACCCCTCTGTCAAGCTCCTAAAGTTTGCTGATAACACAACGGTCATTGGTCTCATCCGAGATGAGGACAAGTCAGCCTACAGACGGGAGGTTGAGCAGCTGGTCCTGTGGTGTAG